TCCCCAGCCCCCTTCCTCTCCCTCATCCCTCCAGCCCCTATCCTCTCCACTCCCCTTCGCCTCCTCGCGCCCTTCCCCTCTCAGCCCACTTCCAGCCCCACCAGACCCCTGCCCCTACCCATCAGCCCTGTTCCCAGCCCATAAATGTGTAGGTTAGGTGGATTGGTTGTGCTGTAACTGTCTCATAGTGTCCAGGGATGTGCAGGCTGGGTTATAGGAGTAGAGTCAGTGGCTGGAAAGGATGCTCTTCAAAGGGTTATTGTAGACTCGATTGGACAAATGACCTCTTTCTGCACTGTAGGGAGTCTGTGATTCTCTCCTAATCCACAGACCCTGCTACCTCTCTGTGTTTCTCTCTCAGGATTAGGTCTTGAAAAATTTAAAACTGTCATGTTTCATTAACACGTGGCAGGTCCTTTGAATTCGGAAATTTGTTTAATGAAATTGATTCATCATCCTCAGCAGTTTGTTTTCCAGTTTTTGTGTTTTGCTTGAAGCTTGTGACTAGTTCATATGACTGCCAGATTTACAGGAGTTTTGTTGGCTGATTGTAATAATTGTTTTGACACTAACTGGATGGAAATCTGTGACTGGACCTGGCCAGAGGTCTTTCAATACTGCAGCAATACTGAAGGTTTTTTTTAAGAACTGAGCGTGTCATCAGTTCTAGGTCAAATTAAAAGTTGGCACTTGCATACAGTACTGTTTCGTTGACTTATTCAAAGAGTTTGGTTTTATGGATTAATCATTTGGCATTAATTCAAGATCTAAAGCTTACTGTTTTCCTTTTCTGCAAGGTCAAGTTAAGAAGTTATCTTGAATTTGCAAAATAGTTTTATGTTGATCGTGTGCCTGCTGGCTTCACAAATTATGAAGGTGAAATGTTGGAAAAGGGGCCATTTGCCATATCCTGGGAGCCACCTTGAAGAGTGTCGGTGTTGAATCTCATCATCCTCTTGAGTGTGACAGCTGAACAGACTGAGACGCATTTGAGAACCAGGATCTCAAACCTAGGAATAAGATCTCATCTTGTCATGGAGTGATTCTTGGTATTTCATTTAGGATAATGCAGTTCTAATATTATTTTTAAGTAACCTGCTCAGACCTCCATGACACGTTGAACAGGAACTGGAACTTCTTGCCCAGGGATAGGGACAGTACCAGTGTCACAAGATGATCTGCAACAGGAAATATTCATTAGTTTGGCATGCAACTGGCCAGCGAGTTCCAAATGGTTAATAAAAGCCAAAAGAACTGCGGATGCTGTAAATCAGGAACAAAAACAAAGTTGCTGGAAAAGCTCAGCAGGTCTGGTAGCATCTGTGAAGGAAAAAACAGAGTTAACGTTTCGGGTCCAATGACCCTTCCAGATCTGAGGAAGGATCACCAGACCTGAAATGTTAACTCTATTTTTTCCTTCACAGATGCTGCCAGAACTGCTGAGCTTTTCCAGCAACTTTGTTTTTGTTGTAAATGGTTAATGTTTCTTTTTGCTTAGGAGCAAATGCATAAGCTGGAGCCATGCACAAAAATTAAGATTCTTTGGTGGCCTCTTAGGTGGGCATTAAAGATTCCATGCCACTATTTTGAAGATTGGGGGATTTCTGGCTAATATTTAGCCCTCCACACCAAAAGGTACCAGTTGGAATCCTGTTGCTGCTTGTAGGAGTTTCCTACATGTCAGTTGGCTGCCATGTTTCCTAAGTCATGGGAATTAATACAATTCAAGAATATTGCATTACTGGTGAAGTGCTTTGGAAATCTTGAGGATATGACAAATGAGTATATAAATGTAAGTCTTTTATGGAAGATAAATGAATCTTGTGTATGCGGTGGAGATGTCAGATTTGCAAATAATGTTTGTAGTTCATCAGTGTGATGTTCAATGTTACTTCTAATTTTTTTTTCTAGCTGCACAGCCTTCCAAGGTCCTTGTGTTGCAGTGACTTATGGAGCCAGAACTCACTGTGCAATCAGCATGCCTGTGCTGATTGCTGTGCATGCAACCTTGGAATAGCTGCATGTTGAACCACATGGCATTGCGTTCAAAAGGAAATCCAAGAATTTAAAGCAATTCTTTTTAACTTTCAACACGATGCACCACAGCATCTCCCCAAAGCTCCTTAAACAGCATCATCTCATACCTACACCTGAAGGACTGCAGCGGTTCAAGAAGGCTCTTCACCAAGGGAGCAGGAAAGTTGACATTTCGGGTCGGGACCCTTCTTCTGAAGGAGGGTCCTGACCCAAAACATCAACTTTCCTGCTCCTCTGATGCTGCTTGGCCTGCTGTGTTCTTCCCGCTCCATACTGTGTTGTCTCTAATTTCAGCATCTGTAGTTCTTGCTATCTCCAGGCTATTCACCATCACCGTTTACAAAAGGCAGTTAGGAATGGGCAATAAATATTGTCCATGCTAATGATGCCCACGTTCCATCAATGACTAAATGTAAAAATCTTGTGTAGAGCTGCTGAAGCAAATGGGATAGATGCCCTTTAAGATTAAGTCATATAAACCTAAGAGAGAAAGGAATCTAAAGATGTAAAGTAGGAGGTTCATATGGGTCAAAACAATAGCTTAGATTTGTTGGCCTGACTGATTTGGTTTCCTTCTGTGCATTCAGTATAATTAGTTGTAATGGGGAAAAAAAAATCAAAGTAATGTCATCTGCTAAATCTTCAATTTTCTTCTAACAGATGCAGTTTATGCTGCTTTTTAGTCGTCAGGGGAAACTTCGATTGCAAAAATGGTATGTCCCACTCTCAGACAAAGAGAAGAAAAAAATTACAAGGGAACTTGTCCAAACAGTCCTTGCTCGCAAACCCAAGATGTGCAGCTTTCTGGAGTGGAGAGACCTGAAGATTGTATATAAAAGGTTGGCATTCAGGCGTTTACTTTTAGTTCTGGATTGCATTGTCCGTTATCAGACTAATGAGCTGCTGGGAGTTGTTTTAGCTCCGTTGACTAGATGGCTGGTTTGCAATGCAGAGAGACACCAACAGTGTGGATCCTGCAGTACAGTGGTTAGAGTGAAGGATTCTCCTGAACCTCTTGCCTTACCTGAAGCATGGTGACCCTCTGGTTTAACCACCACCTATTGGCCCTGCAATTAAAGGGCAGCCCTGTAAGACTGAATTATCTGATAAGACTACAGTGACTTTACCTGTACTTTTACTGAGTTACTGCATCACTTCCTCAGGGCAAAGCATTCCTCTGTTGCACCCACTTAATTTCACTTGTATTCTGGTATGTCAGCAGGAGATAATGGTGTCGGGACGGAGGGGAAGTGTCACTGGGTGTGTGGGTAGGGGAGGGTGTCGTCGGCAGGGGGGAGTGAATTGCTGGTGTGCTGGTTTGCTTTTCTTGATGTTTTCCTGTCCTTGTCAATTTCAAAACTAGAAGTTTGAGGATGGTTTAATAGAGGTCATGAGAATTACAAAGATTTTTAATTGATTAGACAATAGTTTTTCACTTGTGAGTAGGTCTAAATCTATAAGTCACATATGTAAGATAATCAAGAAATGAAACAGGATACTGAGAAGAATCTTTATCCAAGGATGATAAGAACGTGGATGTTACTTCAAAAAATTCCTTTGGTATTAAGTAGTATCAATGTGTTTAATGGCTGCTTATATATGTCTGAGAGGTAGAAATAGAGGGTTTTTGTTAATAAAATTAGGTGAAATAGTTTGAGATGAGGCTCAAGTAGAGAATAAACACTGTGGGCTAGTTGGGCTCAATGGCTTGAATGTGTGTTGCTTATTCTATCCCGTCTCCTGCATATTCTGTCACATTTCCAATGCCAGAAGGGTTCTTTTTATGTGGACAGTGAACAGCAGCTATATTTGTTTGCAGGAAGTGAGATTTACTTTCATTCTGATGTCTCTCTGATCACTGTCAATGATGTGATAATATCAAAAGAATATTTTAGCCACTTGTGTTGTCCCTGTCAGCTGAGTCATTGTGTGTCAGTACTTGTTTATCAGCTGTCATAAGCTAACTCTGCAGTTGTAACTGTGAAGATGTGTGCATTTTTTTATTTAAAAAAAAAGACATTGGTGCTTGACTCCTGATGTTCATTTTGCTCCGTTACCTTGCCCGAAGTAGGGACGGCCAGTTTCTTAAGATAAAGATCAGGAATAAAGTGTACAAAAGCAGCAGATGGTGATGGATGAGTCGAAGATTGTACTGACAAATCTTTATTAGACTGTTGTTTTTATTTTGCCCTTGCAGCTTGTTTTCTTTTTTTTGTGAATTCTTTCAGTCCTGGCATTAATGTGTAATTTCTGGGTATTTTATAACTCTGTATTTTAGGTGGTGTAATGACAGAACCACCATATGTTCTTTCATGTGTAGTACACCTAAACCAAAGCTGCTTGATGGAGGAACTTACAGTGGAGTGAAACACGGTCACCTGTTACACAAAAAAAAATGCTACTTTTATAATGCTTTTGGGATATACTAAAAATGCTCTATAAACGTGTTATATAAATGTTATTTTGTTTTTACATAGTCGGTGAATCAACACCAATAGTTATGAGTTTAGTGTTAGTTTGTTCATTTCAGCCTGAATTTAATTTGAGTGTTTAAAAAACCATATTAATTTTGGATACATGCATCACTGCAATTCAGCACCATTCATCTTGAGGTTAAAGTCTCGAAGTGTAAATTTTTTCATAAATCTATTTAAGTCCTCTGGACATTAGCTTTTAGGTAGATTTCAGTGGTTTTAATAACTTGTGTGACTGAAATATTATGTTTGTACAGGTATGCAAGTCTTTACTTCTGCTGCGCTATTGAGGACCAGGACAATGAACTCATTACCCTTGAGATTATTCATCGTTATGTTGAACTCCTAGACAAGTATTTTGGAAGTGTGAGTTTAAAAAAAAGCTTTAATTCATTGCACGTATAACACCAATCCCTTGTGTATAGTAAAAGTGGCTGACCTTAAATTGGAAGTCAGATTGAAAGCTACATTATTCAATCTGTGTACTTTGCATTTCATTCTTAATTGAACGATTGTTCCCTTGCAGCTATGTTTTTTAAAGTGCAGGTTATACCTACCACATATCCAAAAGGGTATATTATTCAGAGAAAACTTTAGAGCAAAAAGCAAACATAATCCAAATTGAGATGGACTAATGAACAACTTTATTGAATCTCGAATAAATAGTCCGTTTTAATTGTGTTAATTTATTTTCCTCAAGTTAAATCGCATTGTTATTTTGTTTAATTTGGTGATTTTTTTTTTTTTCTCTTTTAGCTTGTTGATACGTGAGCTTCCAAAACAAAAACCTTTCTGACTGGGTACAGGCGCAAAACCATCTTGTGTATTCTCAATGAAAGATGGTCCTTATCATTTGGTCATTTTTGCTGGTTGCTGGCGTTACCTCACAACAGGGCCTGAGTCCACAATGCTGACAGTCAAGCTAAGGAGTCAATCTCCATTTAAAGAGTGATCTAATGGTTGTATATGCACATTCTATGAGAAGTCAGCAATAGCCACTAAGAGACGGAAACCTGACTAGTTTAATTTTCACATCACTTTTACTAACATTCAGAGCTTCTAACTGGATGATTACTTGCATTTATACATGTGTTTTGAGCTGACCACCTGAATTATGCACATTAATTAATCTATCTCTGGTGTAGTAACGTTTGAAACTTTTTAAAATTAAGCAAAGAAGGGATATATTTGTATTAGAAGCAGTTCACAGAAGCTTCACTCAGCTGATTCTTGGGATGAAGAAACTTGTCTTACGTGCAGGTTGGGCTGGTACTCAAGTTGGGAAGAATGAAGGGTGATCTTACTCAAACGTGTAAGATTCTGAGGGAGCTTTGCAGAATAGTACTGAGAGATTGTTTTCTCCTCTTGGGGAAATATAGAACTCTGGGGAAAGTTTACAAACAGTGTCTTGTCTGTGGATCATTGGTCTCTGTAATCCTCTTCCACATGAAGCTGTCATGCTAAGGGGAGGCAACAGCCTAATGGTGGTATCGCTGGACTATTAATCCACTAAAACCTATTAACCCAGGTAATGTTCTGAAGACCTGGGTTCAATTACTGCCATAGTGGAATTTGAATTCAATTTTTAAGAAGTCTGGAATTAAGAGTCTAATGATGACCATGAATTCATTGTCGATTGTCATAAAAGCCCATCTGGTTCACTAAAGTCGTTTAGGGAAGGAAACTGCCGTCCTTACGTGGTCTGGCTTGCATGTGACTCCAGACTGTCAGTAATGTGGTTGACTCTTAATGGCTCTCTATGCAATAAATACTGGCTTGGCCAGCAACATCCTGATCCCATGAGTGAATTTTTAGAAAGTCATGGCTGGGTCATTGAACTATATTCAAGTCAGACTTTTGATCTACATGAGAGTTGAGTGTTTTGGGGCAGGCAGAAAAGTAGAGTTAAGGCTGATCTTATTTTGGCCATGATCTTGTTGAATTGCAGAACAGGCTGAAGATTATTAGAGGTTTATCCTTAATCTGTGATCTTGAACACATGATACAACTCTATTTGAAAAGAAAAGTCAAACCAAAATTCTACAAAATGGACTTTCATGACTTTAAGCCCATTTACTTCCTACAAGATGATTTGAAATACTACAATTATTCATGCCAAGTGACACTCAACTTTACTTCTAATTTGGAACAGATGGGAACTATTGCAGTAATTGAATCTGGAATTGCACAGAATTGGAAATGGTAAAAGGGAGATGGATCAAATGTGTATCTTGTTACTGTAAGCTGTAATTTGACTAGAACATATTAGTTCAGCATCTTGTACAATTACTTAATGCTACACACATTTCTAAACTTGTGAAATTCCTCGACATGGTATGTTTTGTTGTGCCATCTGTCAGAATGGTGATCCATTGTATGTCCAACTTCCGCTTACTAAACTTAGCATTTGTTTTTGAAGTCAAATGCGTTACTATTGCTGACATGAAACTACTTGCTTCTTTAATTGAAATCATGCATATCTTGTGCCAAATAAAATTCTAATCTGCAGATACATGTCTGAGAAGATCGTAGTTATTCGAGCTATAAAATGTTGTCTCTGGATATTTTTCAAGATCTAAACAAAATGTGATGACTGTTTTTCTTACCCCTTTCTTGAAGGTCTGCGAACTTGACATTATCTTCAATTTTGAGAAGGCTTACTTTATCCTGGATGAGTTCTTGTTAGGAGGGGAGGTACAGGAGACCTCGAAGAAGAATGTTCTGAAAGCAATTGAACAAGCTGATCTGCTGCAGGAGGTATGAATTAAGAAGTGTACTTGCCTGAGCATGAGCATGTTATGTTGTGGCAGAAGGAACTACCTTCCTTGTGCTAATCTTAACTGGGAAGTACTGCTTAGATAGCAAAATTCAGTCTCTAAGGTTTCCTTCAGTTTGTGTTTGTCATCTGTCGTGTATTTTGCAATTGCATGTCTCTTGCTTGAAGTAGAATGTATTGTTAACATTGCTTGCATTAATGTAAACGTGTGTGTGTGTGATTGAAGACAATATGGTTTTTTGCTCGATACTTGCCTAGATGTGGTCATTTAAGGCAGCCATGATCCCTCGGATATATCCTTTCTTTTATAAGCACATTCTCCAGTTTATTTTTTGTTCTACATTGTGCTACCGTCTCCCTCTTCTGCCATAAATTATTTTTTGTTTAGAGAGCTTGGTTTCTGTTTGAAGTTTGACAGAAATTTTAAATGACTTCCGACCTCTTTGTACTCACTTGTGCTTCTTTACTGTCCTATTTCTGAATCCCAGAAACATAACTGACATCTCTGATCATTTTCAGGTATATTACATATAGACAAATGTACAATATGGTGCAAAACTTAAGAGTATTTGACACCGAGAGAACTTGGTGGCTGAGCATTATTATGTATTTATCTCAAAAATTGCATTACAGACTCTTTAGAACTGCTGTATCTCACTAAACCGTAATTCTTACCAGGAAGTCTTTGCATGGAAATGAACGGATTAAAATCTCTTGTCATTCCTCAGTGTCTGCTTTCTTGGCTTGAATTTGATGTCTCTAATACTCTCTCCACCCCGTTTCAGCCTGGCCTAAGTTTTATACTCCATCTGTCATTATTTATTCTGTCTCTGCAACAACTTGTCTACATGTCAGTACCTTAGCACTACTGAAACTTAAGGTTTTTGCAAAGATTTGTAGCTTGGGTTGTGGGTGAGGTTGTTGACTGGCCTGCCAAGCTGGCTTGTTTTTGTTTAGACATTTCGTCACTATGCTAGGTAACATCATCAGTGAGGCCTCTGATGAAGCGATGTTGCTCTACTCTGTTTGGAATTTATACTGTCCAGTCTCTTATGGTGAATTGTGTCATTTCCTGTTCTGTTCTGTATGGGTTTGTATATGGAGTCCAATTCTATGTTTGTTGGACCCCATATACAAACCTATGCAGAACAGAACTTGAAATGATACTACTCACCATAATGGACTGGACAGTATAAATTCCAAGCGGAGTAGAGCAACATCGCTTCATCAGAGGCCTCACTGATGATGTTGCCTAGCATGGTGACGAAAAGTCTGAACAAAAGCAAGCCAATTCAGTGAGCAAATCAATAACCTCACCACTGAAACTTTTAATCATTTCCAAAACGTTTATGGATTTGATCATTTTTCCCTCCAATCTGTTTACTCATTTCCTTGGTTCTGACCCACGTAAAGCCTGACTTGTTCAAAGCTTCGCTGATGGTATTCTATTCTGCCCTTTGTCCCTCGTCTTTACTGAGCTAGTCTTGTGACACTATGCAAAGTGTCACAGCTGTGAGGGGTCATGACATTCTGGTGAATATTTAGCCTTCAACTTGTATCCCTTTTACAGTAAAAGGAAATCTTGGTGTCTCATGGTGCTGTTTGTGGGATCTTGTTGTGCAGAATAGACTGTTTGTTTTGTTTGGCCACACCACATTCGTGACTACACTTCAAGTGAATTGGCTGGAACATCTGAGAATGTCCTAAAGATGTAAAAGGTGATGTAGAAATTCTTTTATTTCCATTGACCTAAAGAGCGTAGCTCGTAAAATTTTTATCAAAGGAATAAGCTGCTTAGGTCATTAATCAAGTTAGACATTTAACTACATACCACTATTTCACCAAGTAAACTTGCAAAGGTTTCAGGAAACAACCATGATTGAGTACTGCTCCTATACATTACACAAACTGTTATCCATTTGTTGATTTGGCTTCAAAGCATGTTATCTTGTAACATTCTCAATCTGTTAATGCTAGCTGCCATCAAGATATCTAAAGCTATTATCAAGATAGTGACGTTGCTAAGAAGCTTGTTAAGCAGCTGAACTCTAGTTAGCAAGTGTTGACGGGGATTCACAACCTTCTCTGAGCATGCATGCTGTCTTGACAAATTGGTTTTCCTTATTAACTGCAACATCTTCCTACTGGTGCCTGAGACAACTGCTAACTTAGTAACATGCCTTTGTTACTTTTACACTAGTGATAAAGGCAGATATAACAATAATGCACTTTCAAAACCTTATTCCCACGGTGGAGACTTGAGCAACAAATCTTGGTTGATATCCCCAATGTAATACTGACGGAATGCTGTTCTGTTGGAAGTGTCACCTTTTTCAGATGCAATATTAAACCAAGGCCTTAACTATCCATAGAAGATCCCATAGCACTTCTTGGAAGAAGAGCAGAGGAGTTCTCCAATGTGTTCAGGTCAATTTTTATCCCTTGAGTAAGCTAGCTAGAAAGAATTGGTTAGCTGGTTATCGTCACGCTGGGAGCTCGTCGCGCATTGGATTGACTGATCTTTCCTACGTTGCATTTCCAAAGATACTTTAATTGGCTTTAGTGCTTTGGGTTGTTCTGAGATCATGCAAAACATGATATAAATTATATGTAAACGCCAAATACTGTGGAGGCTGGAAATCTGAAATAAAATCAAAAAGTGCAGTAGAAACCCAGCAGGTCTGACAGCCTCTGAGAGAAAAATAGAGATGACATCTGGAGTCTACTCTGATTCTTCTTCCAAAGTTTCCTTGGACATAATTGTAAAACTTGCTTGAATACCAAACGCAAAGCTGTGTTGTTAGGTCTGCAGTAAGATATCTGATAACCAAGGTGACCATTCCTTAAGAAAGGCTGTAAGGAAAAGCCAGGGAACTGTAGACTGGTGACCTGTGTGTCAGTGGTGTTTAAGTTGATGGAGGGATTCTGAGGAACAGGATTTACATGCAGTTGGAAAAGCAAGGCCTAATTAGGGATAGTCAGCATGACTTTGTGCGTGGGAGATCGTGTCTCACTAAATTGATTGTCACATCTTCAAAAATTACAATGAAAATTCAAGGTAGAGTGGTAAACATTGTCTATATGGATTTCAGCAAAGCGTTTGACAACATTCGGTCATTGTCACAAGCATGGAAACAGACCCTTTGGTCCAATTCGTCTGAGCCAACCAGCGATCCCAATCTGACCTAGTCCTATTTGCCAGAATTTGCCCATATCTCTCTAAATCCTTCCTATTCATATACCCATCCAAATGTCTTTGTAACTGTACCTGCCTCCACCAGTTCCTCTAGCAGCTGATTTCACACACGCACTATCCTCTGCGCAAGAAAGTTACCTGCTCAGGTCCTTTTTAAATCTTCGCCCTCTCCCCTTTAACTTACGCCCTCTAATTTGGGACTTCCCTATCCTAGGAAAAAGACCCTGGCTATTCACCTTACCCATGCCCCTCATGATTTTATAAACCTATATAAGGTCACCCCCTCAGCCTCCAACACTCCAGGGAGAAAAGCCCTTTACCTATAACTCAAACCCTCCAACCCTGGCAACATCCTTGTAAATCTGCACCCTCACAAGTTTAACAACCTCCTTCCTATAGAAAGGCGACAAGAAGTGTGCATAGTATTCTAAAAGTGGCAGCACCAATATCCTGTACAGCCACAAGATGACATCCCAACTCATTTTATATTTAGCTAGCCTGTTGTTGCTATCTTAGATTTTAAGTCATGCAATCCTTTAATGGGCCTATTCCCATCCCAACGTATCCTTTTGTTTATGTGCTCATACTTTAGTATTTTGGCTTTTATTCCTTGACAATTTCATAGTTTACGCATGGTAGACTGGATGATAAGGTTAGATCACATGGGATCCAGGGGGAATTAGCTAATGGATACAAAATTGGCTTGAAGTTAAGAGACAGAGGGTGGTGGTGGAGGGTTGTTTTTCAGACTGGTGGCCTGTGACCCAGCTGTGTGCCACAAGGATCGGTGCTGGGTTCACCACTTTTCGTCGTTTATATAACAATTTGGATGTGCATGACGGAGGTATGGTTAGTAAGTTTGCAGCTGACACCAAAATAGGTGGTGTAGTGGACAGTGAAGAAAATTATCTCAGACTACAAAGCAGCCTTAATCAGATGGGCCAATGAGCTAAGGAGTAGCGGATAAAGTTTAATTTAGATAAATGTGAGATATTGTATTTTGGTAAGGCAAACCATGGCAGGACTTATAGAGCTAATACTAGGTCCCTGAAGAGTATTGCCGAACAAAGAGACTTAGTGGTGTAGGTGCATAGTTCCTTGAAAGTGGAGTTGCAGGTAGACAGGGTGGTGAAGTAGACATTTGGCACATTTGCTTTCGTTGGTTAGAACATTGAGTATAGGAATTGCAATGTCATTGTGGCTGTACAGGGCATTGGTGAGGCCACTTCTGGAATACTGTGTACAGTTCTGGATGTTGCTAAACTTGAAAGGGTGGAGAAAAGATTTACAAGGATATGGTCAGGATTGGAAGGTTTGAGCTGTAGGGAGAGGCTGAATAGGCTAGGGTTGCTTTCCCTGGAGTGTCTGAGACGGAGGGTGACCTTCTAGAAGATGTGGAGGTACTGATGTTGGATTGGGGTGGACAAGGTCAGAAGTCACATAACACTACGTTATAGTCCAACAGTTTTATTTGAAGTCACAAGCTTTTGGAGCGCTGCTCCTTTGTCAGGTGAAGTGAATTCATCTGACGAAGGAGCAGCGCTCTGAAAGCTTGTGACTTCAAATAAACCTGTTGGACTATAACTTGGTGTCATATGACTTCTGACCTTTTATAGATGTTTATAAAATAATGAGGGGCATGGATAGGGTGAAAAACTAAGGTCTTTTTGCTAAGGTGGGAGAGTCCAAAACTAGAGGATGTAGGTTTAAGGTGAGAGAGAAAAGATTTAAAAAGCACCTGAGGGGTAACTTTTTCACGCGGAGGGTGTTGCCTGTATGGAGTGA